CCCCCAAGTCAGCTGCTGCTGAAACTGACCAGCGGCTGACTACAGGAAGCCCGAGGCAGAGTTCCAGGAAGCCTGGGGCAGAGCAACTCTGCCCCGGGCTTCCTGGAATCAACCGCTGATCAGTTTCAGCAGCAGCTGACTTGGGGATGCCTGGGTTTCTTAAGTTGAATCTGTATGCAAGTCAGAACTGGCGTCCAGATTCAGCCGTTGTTGAAACTGATCAGTTTCAGCAGCGGCTGAATCTGGATGCCAGTTCCGACTTACATACAGATTCAACTTAAGAACAAACCTACAGTCCCTATCTTGTACGTAACCCGGGGACTGCCTGTAGTTACAAAAATAAAATATGTATTACTTAATTTTATTAAAGACGCAGTTATACTGGGCAACAACTAGATCAAACAGTTTCGCACACCACTGACTATTGCAGTCCATAGTACGCAGATTTCACCCTTGAATTCTGAGCCAGTCCCCTCTGTTGTAATATTTAGAGCAGGAAAGGGCAATAAGAAGGCAGTGGTTGGCCAGGATTAGTCCCTGGTGGTCCACAACTACTCTATTTACCTGTGTTTCTTCAGACATGGGTAATTGCAGCTCCTGTTGGCCATGGATCACTGTTCCTGACCCATGGGAGCTGCTGGAAGTGGTGGAGACTGAGACACCATTTCCTGCAGCTTCCATTGGCTGCGAACAGTGATCCACGGCCAATGGGAGCTACAATAGCCCTTAATCTGTGGATGCACTGGTAAATGTAGCAGTGGCAGCCCACCAGCGGCTAACCCTGGTGAGCCGAATCTGCTCCATGGGCCAATATTTGATCACTGCTGCTTTAGTGTCCTTGTTGCTGCACAGTGGACCAGGAGAAAGGCAAAGCATGGGCCCTATGTTTGGTTTTTATATCCTCAGTCCATGTGCTTGGGAAGCACAAGTCCAGGCATGTCTAGGGACATTGCTGAGTTTCCAGGCAAAGTTGAGTAATCCCCCTGGATGCAGCCACAGGCAGGTGAGTCATTACACTGTAGCTCCCTTGCTGTACAATGGCTATTGACACTTCCATCCAGGTGTTGGCTCCTCTCCTTGCAGTTGCCTCTGGGGAAGCTAATATTTGTCTGCTTCCCCAATTTACAGTATATTTCAGTGATAACCATACAACATATTCATATAATTTCATATGCATCGAGGATATCCATGTACGGATTGAAAAATGGCTTTCAGCAGACCAGTCTCCTATACCTTAAAAGGCATGCTTTTATATATAACATCACAATGGTATAAAACTGGGGACTATTAGTGTCACAGATACAGAGTGTCACAAACAGTTTATCTTCTTCTCCTTATAACAGATGCAGTCACTAGCAAGGACTCATTCTGGACACTCATTACTCTACCAAAAGTTGTATTTCTCTGTTTTACTATAATTTCAGTAAGTGCTTCTTTTGGCTTCCTGGATCCCACTATGTCACTGTTTATTTTAGAGAAGGTGAGTCCTCTTAATGTGCAAGAGATAGGACAATAACTTCAGCTATATGGAGTACTTTAATCCAAATATTTAAAATCGATGTCCTAATAAACTGTATTCTATTACATGTACTTGTCATTGACATTACGCGAGCCCGATACTGTATTCTTGATTTGTCATTCAGAGTAATTTGATTTCCACAGTGTTGTGTACTTCTTGCAGCTCCCATTAACTGCATGTGGAATTATGGGTAATCAACAGTGATAAAAATCCACCCTTACCCCTCTTTTGAAAACATGTCTCCAGTTTACAGTTCCACAAGTTCTTTCCTTAAGTTAGTCAAACTGTGACTGCAACCAGGAGTGACACATCTGAGGTAGCATGAGGGGGTCAAGTGACCCCTAAATGCCTTGGGTGGGAGAAGCAAGAAGCCAGCCAGTAGCTGGCTCGGGGGCAGAGCAAGGGTGGGAGAGGTGGGAACTGGAGTGGCAGGAGATTGTCTTGGCTCTTCCCTGGGCTGGGGGGAGTTATGTCACCAGTGGCTCCTCAAGTCACTCCTCACCAGTCACTCCTGACTTCCACTCTCACTTCCATGTACCACAGTCTATCAGATAAAATGAATAAATGCTTTGTCGGTGGCCGTGGGGTCATAGTCACTGTGACAGAATATTATCGGAGGGAAAAGCCACTTATTTGGGGGCTAACCTGTCTTGGCTCCATCTCTGCTTGTAATAACACAAAACACCTAAATTGTTTCTACAGTCTATTCTGCAGACACTATCTTAGTCACTTATTCATTAAGATAAAACTTGTTTGCGTGCTTGCATGACATGCTGAAATAAAGTGCCTGCTAACAAAATCATTAGCTACGTCATTGTATTTTCCCCATCAGGAAAATTGAAAATCAAGCATAATTGCGACTTTCAAAAGGGCAAAATGTTTCCTGATTCTTACCCATTTACTGTCTCTGGATAAGTATGGACAGATAATGCATGTTTGAGTGGCAGGAGGTTCATATGCACATGATTGAGTAAGAAGTTACAGACTTGGATGTTTCAATTGTAATAGCTGCAATTGTGGAATATTTGAATTCACGCAGTTCTTTAAATCTAGAATTGTGAATTGTTGATGCTATTGTCTTATAAAACTAAGGAAAGACAAATGACAAGTGAACAAAGCCTCCTCTACAACATTCTAGCTTCTTATTCTGTTGTTGCATCAGTGAAACCCCTTTGTTTTCCCTCCCATGTCCTGTACTGAATCTCTTTTTATATTACAGAGACAAGGTGGTTTGAGAGAAATGATCCTTCATGGGACCAACTTTTGAGTTACACAGAGCTCTTCACCAGGTCTGGGAATGGTATTCCAAGTGTATAAGTACACAGCTAAGTACAAGGTGAAATTGATTGTTTAGCATGAGAAGTTAACACACATTCTAAGGGACCATTCAAGGTAAAGCAAAATGCAGGACTATGTAGCACTTTAAAGACTAACAAGATGGTTTATTAGACGATGAGCTTTCGTGGGACAGACCCACTTCCTCAGATCAAATAGTGGAAGAAAATAGTCACAACCATATATACCAAAGGATACAATTAAAAAAAATGAACACATATGAAAAGGACAAATCACATTTCAGAACAGAAGGAGGATGCGGGCTTGTCCTTTCCATAAAGGAAGGTAAGTGTCTGTGAGTTAATGATATTAGAGGTGGGGAAAAGTAGATGTCTGTGAGCTAATGGTATTAGAGGTGATAATTGGGGAAACTATCTTTGTAATGGGTAAGGTAGTTGGGGTCTTTGTTCAATCCCCCCCCGGAGAGTGGCGAATTTTAGCATGAATGACAGTTCAGAGGATTCCCTTTCAAGTGCAGATGTAAAAGGTCTTTGTAGCAGAATGCAGGTAGTTAAGTCGTTGAGACAGTGTCCTTTCTGGTTGAAATGGCAAGAAATTGTTTTTTCTTTGTGATCCTGTCTGATATCTGTTTTGTGGGCATTAATCCTTTGGCAAAGTGTCTGAGACGTTTGTCCAATGTACATAGCAGACGGACACTTTCGGCACATGATAGCATAAATTATATTTCTGGATGCGCAGGAATATGTGTTCTTGATCTTATAACTCACTTGGTTAGGTCCAATAATGGTATCAGCAGAATGAAGATGTGGACAAAGCTGGCAACGGGGTTTGTTGCAAGGGAAGGTACCAGGGTTGGTATTAGTTTGGTATGTCCTGTGGTTGTTGGTAAGAATCATCTTGAGGTTAGGTGGTTGTCTATAGGAGACTATGGGTCTGTCTCCCTGAGCCTCTTGGAGTATGGTATCCTGTTCCAGTATAGGCTGTAGTTTATTGATAATGTGTTGGACAGGTTTAAGTTGGGGGTTGTAGGTGATGACAAGTGGTGTTCTATTGTTGGTTTTCTTGGTCTGTCTTGAAGTAGATTGTTTCTAGGTATTTGTCTGGCTCTTTCAATTTGCTTTTTTATTTCTCTGGGTGGGTAGTTGAGATTTATAACTACCCCCACACACACTATGCTCAGGGTTCCATGGAGGCTGTCAGCTCCCGTTTTCAGTTGTTCTTGCAGAGTCCGGCACCACTTTTAGTTAATAGGTTTTAGTATTTGGGGGGCTCACCTCTGATGATGATCTTAGTGAGATTGGGGGGGGTCATTGCAAGACCAGAAAAGGAGATTCAGGAAAGATTTTTTCAGGATGTGGTCCCTATTGAATATGGGTTATAATTGTTTAAAGAAAACCTAAATGGCTCCAGTATGGGGTGGTAGCTGACAAAGGGGGATGTAAAGACAGAATTCTTGTTTATTTTCTGTGATAGAGCAAATTCTCTTGAGCTCATTGAGAGACCTGTTCTGTGATGTGATACACTTTTCTTGTAGAGAGCTCTTATTTCATGAAGGTGGTTTTAAGTGGGTTAAGGTATATATTTCTGACTTGCGCCTTGGAGTATACTCTGTGATACACTTGAACTGCTTTAATCCAGACATCCTAGGAAGCAGGGTTTGCCAGATTAAAGATTTTGTCAGGCCAGGGAGAGAGTGAGGGGGGTGGGGTTAGGGCACTTACCTGGCACTCCACATCCCCGATTCCTAGGCACCATCTGCCACCACTATGGAAGCGGTGGGGAAATGCCTCCAGCAGAGCACATTGCTGCACTGACATTCCCCCAGCAGGAGGGAGGGGGAGCAGCAGTGCACAGAGCTGCATCCACCTCCCTCTGCCAGGGTCCGTACCATGGGTGTTCCCGAATTAGGGACACGAAGAGTACAGAGGTTATAGTGTATCTGAGGGCCGGGCTGCAGATAACAGATTTTGGGTGTGCCTGGGGTAGCTACTGGATCAATGTGAGGAAGTATGGAGACCTATGGGTTTCTTTTATATAGCTATCAGGTATGGATGTAAGTGAGCCTAGGCTTATTGGTTAGTCGAATCAACTATTCACATTTCCACCCTGGCTGCCTCTGTATATTAAAAGACAGTTCCCTCCAGCACTGTCTCCATGGGGCCACCTCCCTCCCAGCAGCATGGGAGGGCAGGATGAGGGGTAGCTGCCCCCGCTGCATCTCTGCTGCCCCTGCTGCACCTCTCAGCCTCTGCCCCTTGCACGCCCGGCTCCTACTACATTTAAACTGCAGAGACGCAGCAGGGGCAGCCGCAAGCGGATACAGCACTTTTCCTCTTATGGACTAATTGTGTAGTTGATAAAGTGTCTATTCACTACACCAGGGCTACTCAACATGTGGCCCACAGGCCGCTTGCGGCCCATTTGTTTGCGGCCCATGGTGCGGTTTGGATTTACACAGGGCTCAACCCATGGCCTGCAGGTAGGATCCTTTGAACATGGACTCCACTGGGAACACGCTCCCAGGCGGGGTGAGCATTGAAAGTCGCAAGTGGATGGGCTGGCTGAAACAGGCAGGTACAGGGTGTTGGTGTTTCTAGCCCGAAGGAGGAGGTGCCGGGAGCACTGGGGCATTGTGGGAAGTGCTTTGTATTCATGCCCGTCAGTGTGAAAGAAGCTATTTGCATATATTTTTGCATGTTTACGCAACCACACTTAAGTTGCAGCCCTCGGCATGTGCTGTGAGTATCATTGTGGCCCCCAGGGCTTCCACAGCTGAGTAGCCCTGCACTACATTATTTGCGAATTACCTGCCTCTTAACATCCTTACTATCTGGTTCCTTCTGATATGTGAGATGCAAAAGATGGATCTTCAGGTTTTTAAGTCCTTTTTTAGAGCTGTTTTAGCATATTTGAAGCTGTATGTAGTGGACAGAGGTTCATCTTCTGGGGATGATGATTTGTTTCTTACATCTCTTTAGAAAGTAAATGGTACTGTTAAGGGTTGCTTTTTTTCCTTCATGTTGTGGAATTTCCATTTTGGTGGCAAAATTCAGTATCTTCCATTGTTGTATGCTGTTTTTTCCTAGATAGTAAAGAAACAATTGGTGACAAATATTTTTTACTGGACCAACCTGCAGAAACCTATCTGGAGATGAGGCAAAAAAACTTCAAATTACTATTTAAAAACATGACCCGCAATCCAACATAAAAATCAAAAAATGGAACCAACTACAACTCCATAACTCACAGAACTTTGCTTCTGAGTTAAACCATGGCAATAGAACATGTCATGTAGCATTTATATGGCAACCCAACATCGTAAATTGTCAGAGTACCCCCAACTGCAGCTGAATTATCTGTACTTTACAAGGGATTGGACTTCTGCTTCTCCTCTATCGATCCTCCCATGTGGAAAATAAGAAGAATTGTTTTACGGACATTGCATCCAAGTATGCTTTCAGAACATTGACAACAATGACAACCAATGAACTACCATATCTCCATCCACAGTCATAAGACAAAAAGTATCATCTCAGTGGACAAAACCACGATTGCTTCAGGAAGAAAAAAAGTGAAATCCTTAACATCATATCCTACACCATCTTTCCACTGCCAAGATAAGCCCCTTTCTAGAACAGGCCCCGGCTGTCCGCCCTGTTGCCACAGCTGGCTGCTGAAGTGGTGCCCCCATCACTCAGCCTCAGTCACTTCCCTCCGCCCCCATCCTTCCACCAAGCCACCTCAGATGACCCCGCCTGCTGGAGCAGCTACCTGCTGCACCACTCACTTTCCACAGGAAGATGACAGCTGCTGCATATCTTTACAAATAGGTGTGCGGGCAAAGAATTTTTTGTGCATGGCCATACAGGCAAGCACCTTAGTGGGAACTATGGTCTTCAGATGCTACACAGGTAAGTAGGCGTTCAGGTAAGCTGATCTTCTTATATCAGGTCTTCTTTGTGTAATCCTGGGTGGGTGTATGTGAATGTTATTTTGGTTGGATATTCTTTCAGGTGAGTGTGAGCAATGAAATAGGAGATGGAATCACAATGGGCACTGGCTGCCTCTCATAGGAACAGTAATTACTTGGCTGCCTCCAGCACAGATCGCACCTCAGGGGCATGCTGCTCAGTGTTAAACGCCTTCTTGTTTCCAGGCAGCTTAGAGGGTCAGATTACCTTTCTCTTTCCCAGCTTTGCTAGAAAGGGTGCCATACTGGATAACAAGAAGGATGCCAAATGTGAAGGAATAATAACAATTCTATAAATCCAAGGATACGAACTGAGGGGAAAATTGTAAAACTGAAGAACTTCCTACATCACTTGTAGAAACCATCCTCAAACCCTTACCATCCTAAGCTTCTTCCAGAGTATAAGAGACTTCCTATAGAAACTCTGTGACATTAACAACCATAATTGCCACCATAAATATCACCTCTTTATACCTATATCGCTCACAATGACAGCATTATTGCCTACCTCAGTTATCTACAAGTCAATTAACAATTATCCCTTATCCACCCCAAACCCATCACCAAACTTCTCCATTCCATTCTCACCTGTAATAATTTTACATTCAACAACAATTTGCTCAAACCATGGAAACAATCATGGGTACTAAGATGGCTCCCCAGTATGCCAACCTCTTCATGTGCTACCTGGAGGAAGAATTTCTGGACAAATGCACCATGAAATCAATGATATAAGAGAGATACAGGGATCACATTTTCATCTTCTCAACAGACAACCTAAACTCCCTCAGAAACTTTTCCCACAACTTTAAGAAACTACCACCCGTCCACCAGACTCCCTGTAGTACATTCTCTGATCAGCATCAACTTGCTGGACACCATAATCAGTATCAACAATGGATCCCTACAGAAAACTGTGCACAAAAAACTCACAGATCACCATACTTGACTTCATAGATCCAGTACCTGTCTCAAACACCCCGAAAATGTATTATCTCACATCTAGGTACTCAGATACCACAGAATATCCTGTGAGGCGAGAGCCTAGGATACATATCTTACCACACCCAAAACTGTCTTCACCAAACAAGGAAAATCCACCAAAGACATAGATTGCATCAGGAAACTGGCCACCCAAAGACCCTGAGAGAACCTTTAAACAGTCTTTGAACAATCCTAGGTGTCACCTGTCATCCCATACAGTAACCCATACAGTGTATCATTAAATACAATCCATATTCAGTGGGGACCCCATCTTTCCTGAATCCCCTCTTTTGTCCTTGAAAAGTACCTCATCTCTCCAAGTTCATCATCAGAAATAAGCTACCCACAGACCACAACCCACCGACTCCAAATGGCACCAGATCCTGCTATAACAACAGAAGCAAAGCTTGAAGACTCCTCTTTATGATGACAATGATCTATACTGTACCCCCAACAATGAACCCTTCAGGATCCACGTTACATATGCCTATCATAACATGTGGTGTACCTCATCCAGTGCATTATATTCCCCAATAACAACCAGTCATTATTCTCTCAAATGAACTCATAAAAAATGATGAAAGACAAAACAAGCATCTCAACAGTGGGTGAACACCTTTCACAAAACAATCACTTTATATCTGACTTGTCAGTCCTCCTCCCCAAAGGAAATCTTCAAAAGAGAAGCCTGGGAGATATACTCATAACTTTGCAGGACACTAAAACTATGGATTTATTAAAAGCATGGGATTTTAGGTTCATTATAACAATCTCTAACCCACAACATCCCACCCCTTTGTCCTATGAGCAGGGTGTTAATGAGCCACTTCACCTTGAATAGTCCATTAAAATATATATGCTAACTATGATCATGTCACAGATGTCACTGAATCCATGACTTCCATTGACCTCCATGACATTTTCTGCCTCCAGGCTAGGGCTCCCAGCCAGGTTCCCCTTCCTGCAGCTCTGAGACCCCACACTGGTCAGGCACCCTGCAACTGCATAGGTGATGGGCCAAGGGGTTCTGGTGCACTGCAGCATTCTCTGGCTTGCAGTGGTTTCCATTAGAGAAAGGGTTTACAAATTTGGTTCAATGGCTCTTAACATCTTCTCTGTACAAATTGTTCCAGAAGCCCTGTGACTTGTCCATGACTTGTACTAAAAATATCCATGATAAAAACTGTGTCTTACATATGCTGAACAATCTGTTTTACCTTGTATTTATCTGTGATACTTTGAGAACCCTTCCATGATCTGGAGAAGAGCGCTGTATAATGCAAAAGATTGTCTCTTTCATTAACAGAAGTTGGTTCAATAAAAGATATTATCTCACCTGTCTTGTCTCTCTAATATCCTGCAACTAACATAGCTGCAATAACAGAAGTTTTTTAAATGACTTTAAAAAAATCAAATAATTACTTTTTTCCAGTTTAAAAGCCATCTTAAAGTAAGTCATACTGTAAAACAAATGTCCCTGGTAGGAAGGCAAAAATGTGGTGTGTGGTATTCTACTAAAACTAAAAATTGGAGGAGATGTAAATACTGCAGTCATTTATACTGATCTTTGAGTTATAGATTCCAAACAGCCCAGATTCTGAGCTGTTAAAATGTAGCATTTGGATTGGGGTGGGGGATAAATCTCTGTCTCATTTTGAGATTAGACTTGAACTGTGCATGTCTGTAGAGGGATGGAACCTGGTGAATTGAAGAGATTTGGGGTAAGGAGAATATCAAAACTACTGCTGATATGCAAGTATTGAAAAATATATTTAATAAGAAGCTAAAATTTATACGTTTCAGCCTCTTAGCCTAAAATGTTATTTTTATCATTCTGTGCTGCTTTAAAAAACATTTATTTTACAGTTCAAATTACCAGCTGGTTATGTGGGTTTAGTATTTCTAGCATTGGCTCTTTCCTACTCCCTGTCTTCACCGTTATTTGGTCTTCTAAGTGATTCAATGCCAGTGAGTACAAACTTTTATTGCTTGTATAATGTCATAAGCACATGACTAGTTTAAATATGCCAAGTAAAGAAGCAGAAAAATCTCTTTTCTGAAGTCATAGATTCTGCAAAGGAATTCATCAATACAAACAGTAAAGATAATGAGCAACTGTGTACAAATTGTAGCCAATATACAGCTGCATTCAGCTAATTTAAGAGGCAGGATTGTTTATGCAAAATTTGGTATCTGTAGGTAATTGCAAAGTATGACTTTATTTTGCACAAACAAATTCATTCTTCAAAATGTATAATAGATAGTGGACTTGTTAGTTAGAGTATATGGCTGGCCAGCACATTTGTCCAGACAGGTTAAAAAAATAAAAATATTTCCTGGTAGCTTATTCACCACCCCACACCCTCTGTCCTCCAAATTCCATATTCCAACACCTGGAGTATTGATTCTTTTCAAATAAGCAGCATATTAGGCGTTTTCCCCATCTAAAATCTGGGGCTAAGTCTAGACTGGCATGATTTTCCGCAAATGCTTTTAACGGAAAAACTTTTCCGTTAAAAGCATTTGCGGAAAATCATGCCAGTCTAGACTTAGCCCCAGATTTTAGATGGGGAAAACGCCTAATATGCTGCTTATTTGAAAAGAATCAATACTCCAGGTGTTGGAATATGGAATTTGGAGGACAGAGGGTGTGGGGTGGTGAATAAGCTACCAGGAAATATTTTTATTTTTTTAACCTGTCTGGACAAATGTGCTGGCCAGCCATATACTCTAACTAACAAGTCCACTATCTATTATACATTTTGAAGAATGAATTTGTTTGTGCAAAATAAAGTCATACTTTGCAATTACCTACAGATACCAAATTTTGCATAAACAATCCTGCCTCTTAAATTAGCTGAATGCATTACTTTTGACACCAGAATATGCTGGGTAAAAGATTTAAATAATTATTTTTGTTTGTCATTGGAAAAAAGTTATGATGATTATGATTAAAGTTCGTAAAAATATTTGCTAACAAAACTAAAATCAAGTTGCCCACTCAATTGTCGTTTTAGTGCACAGAACATTTTTATAGTTATAAATCACAAAAAAATTCAAATTGGTTACAGAAAGAGTAATGGAAGCTTTGAGTTTCTGATTCAAATTCACTATGGCTACGTATACACTGGCCCCTTTTTCGAAAGGGGCATGCTAATTTTCAACTTCAGAATAGGGAAATCCGCGGGGGATTTAAATATCCCCCGCGGGATTTAAATAAAGATGTCCGCCGCTTTTTTTCCGGCTTGTAGATAAGCCGGAAAAGAGCGTCTAGACTGGCCCGATCCACACTTTGAAGTAGGAATAAGAGATCCTCCGGAATAGGGCTTTATTCCGGAGGATCGGGCCAGTCTAGACGCTCTTTTCCGGCTTATCTACAAGCCGGAAAAAAAGCGGCGGACATCTTTATTTAAATCCCGCGGGGGATATTTAAATCCCCCGCGGATTTCCCTATTCTGAAGTTGAAAATTAGCATGCCCCTTTCGAAAAAGCGGCCAATGTGGACGTAGCCTATGTATTGTAATTATTCAATAAAATGAATAATATCTGAAGTTGAAATCCTACAGATTTAAAACTATTCTTTAACTTCCCATTTGCTTGCACATTAATAAACATTCTGTTACACATATTCAATTCCTTGAACTTTCCTATAAGTGTAATCTATGCAAAATGACTTTGCCCAGTCAGTGACGGGATTCACCTGCTAACAGGAGTATATTTCAAATGATCTCAGTGTATATGCCTGTGCTAGGAGGCTATGGTGCCTTTTGCCTTTTGGAGATCTTTGTTCAAGCTTTATCTGATCATAAGTGCAAATGTCTACCTATTTTTATTGGCATAGTATGTGTCACTTTTCTGCTACACAGTTGGCTGTGGCAAAAGACAATAGAAAAAGCAGTGACCTTGAACGTCCAAAATCGGGTGCATTGTCAATACTGTATGGCAGCAAGCACTTGAAAGAAGTGGAGGTTGTTGATGTTGCACCAGCATCACATGCAAGCTTTTTAAAAAACATACTGCTGAAAAGTGGGCCCTGAATCATTCTGCTGGTGAAAACCAAGCTTTGGGCCCCTGGTAGCAAGAGGTTCACAGGTACTTGACATACCCTCATTCACTGATTTGTCATCTGATGGTTACCTGATGCAATGCCCACAGTAGGCATTACTTGCCAGGGAGTGGTCACGATCTAGAAAATGTACTGATCTGTACCTCTCCCATACATCCACCCAGGGAGCATCCCCCTGGCCTAATCTCTGTTACTGCAGGTTGTCCATCTAAGTTGTGGAACTTCAGCTACATGAATAATGTAGCTGAAGTCAACATACTTATATCTGCTTACCACAAACTATACTAGCTACATTAGACACGATAAATCAACCCTTGCTGGATTGATTGCTGCCCATTGAGCCAGTGGGTACTGAAGACATGACCTCCGAATGTAAAGGAGTTTTTCCTATGGCCACTTTTAAAAGCTTCATTGGGAGAGTAATGTAATCCAGTTGAATTCACCTCTACTTGTCATAACTGCTGAATCTTGTTACACTGGGAATAGGAGATACCGTGGAGCATGACATGCTGAGTGGCAAATGTTAAGTGCAAGAATTTGTAGAGAATATTGGCTTTCTCCAGAAAATTATGATTATAAATCCTACTCCCCACTTTCACCCCCAAGCAACTTGAGATGCTTCTGAAGAAAGGAAAAAGTATTTGAATGAGTCCAAATATCCTTTTCTTGGTGGGTTTGAGGTGTTCAGAAGCGTCTTAACCAAATAATGTTTGTGTATGTGATAGTTTGGCAGGTAAGAGTTTGGTTGAGTATGGATTTCTTCAGACTTCTGATTTCTCTTTCACAGCACCTCAGGAAATGGTTTTTGGTCTTTGGAGGCTTACTGACAGCACTGTCCTTATTTCTGTTAGGACCTGCTCCCATCTTGCACATTAAAAGGTACAGTTCACTGCCTTTTATCTCTACCTAATAAATACTTATCAATTGAGCCTATTTAGAGTTGTATCTAATCACTGCAGTGTGTGGGGGGCCTGTAGAATAATAAAGTTTCTTATTACTGGTTAGTTTTCCATGACCAACAGTTGGGAGAACGAAGTGGTTTATTTTGCTACCAAGAATGAACAATGGCTACGATTTCACTAATGCAAGGAATCCTACTCAGAGAGCCATCTTGATGTAATATTTAAAAGAAGATAGGTACTGTGGTTTTTTAAATCTCAATATAGCGGGGTGAAGTAAATATTGTAACCCACATTTGGTGCTTATCTCAACTAGCTATACTGAAATAAAAAAAACTACAGTGCTATATTTATGATTTTCAAAAGATTCTCAATGGAAAATCATTGCAAAAAATGTGAAGGCCACCTGTGCTCCATTTTAAAGCCACCTGTCCTACTCCTGTTGTATTCAAGTGATATACTCTGTTACATATATGAAACAATACTTGCGGAAAGAGTTGCCAAGGTGTGGAGCTGAGTTACATTTTTTCTATCTTTTGAAGAAGACAACAAAATTCAGACATTTGTGAGGAAGAGTGAGTTGAGGAAAAAGATCAGAAAACTGGCTAAGTAGGCTTTTCCCCTCCTTTATCTTTACATAGATATAACTGTGGATTGCAGAATCTTTAGTGTTGTGAAACAAAGACCATATCTTGTATTTACCAATCCCAGGATGAATGTGCAGATTCATCAATTGGTAAAACCTTTCTCCATTTATAAACTGATCTCCTCACAGAAGGAAATAATAGATGCAACAAATATGAAATCACAGAATTTTCATTTTTCACAAAGTACATTTTTCAGACTTGAGCAGCATTCTTAAGAAATTTCTTCTGCCAAAACATGCAGGGTTATTTCCTAGATTATTTAAAACTAATATTATGGCTAATGATGTTTTTGAAAGAAAAACTAATCTCTGAATCCCAGAGAGCTGTTGTAAAAGTCCTAAATAATAAAAGTAAGGGTTTTTGAAAGGAATGGTATACAACATGTTTAAATGCTTATTTTGCAGCAAACTCTGGATGTTTGTCCTACTGCTGGTTTTACATGGTTTTTCCACTGGGATGATTTCTGTTTCACTGTTTCCGGAGATACTCAGTTGTGCTTAGTAAGTAATTCTATCTGTTGCATCAATACTAATACTGTGAAGCTCTGCAAACAATTTCCAGACACCATTTCATTCTCCAATAAGAGAAGAAAAGTAATAAATTGTTGAGCTGAGCCTGAGATGTTGGGCAAAACTTTTGAAAAAGTGATTTAGGCTCTTCTCAAATGGCTTTCTTGCTTAAAAAAAAAGAAAGAGAATAGGTCTTCTACATCACTAAAGCATTTCTGAATTTTACCTATTGGTAAGGGGGTGTGACAACCTCATTATGGTAAAGGGGCCACAAGACTAGTATAAATATTTATTTAGAGGGCTCTTATGTCAAGTCACTGGAAGGATTAATAGACAGCAAATTCCATTAGCTCTCTGGGAGACATTACAGCAACAGTTCTATAAACAGGGATCATACAGTTTCCCAACTTTCGTACACTTGGCCATAATGAGCTGAGGTCTTCTTGGTTCTATGTTATGCAAAGTGTGTTTCTCCTTGGAACCAAGGACTCCCCATCTTTTTCCAGACCCATCTGTCAGCTTTCCTTCTCCTGTACCCTATCACAAGACTGACTATGTTATGATAGGGATATCCAGTTATCACACTGTTAAAGGTGGTGATTCTGTAGTGCTGGGAATCCCAGTCAGCATTGTCCTTATCTTCCTTTACTTAAAGAGATGGTGCCAGATGGTTTAATAGGCAAGACATGCGGCACAAAGCTATGTGTCTTCTGTGCAGAGAAGCTTCTCTGCGCTGCAATGGATGCATTCATGTATATGTTAAAGTAGTTTATATTTCCTGGGGAGGGCTGGGAAATGGGATATTCCCCACTCTCCAGGCACGGAGCTCTTTAAAAGGTAACTTGTGTACCTAGTGGAACTAACCTGACTATCTTTCTTCAGTGAGAATGGATTCGAGCAGGGGTTAAGTGTGTTAGGACTGGTGTCTGGGCTCCGTGGTGCAATGTGGTCAGTTGGGTAGGTACACAATCATTCCTTATTAACTTCTGGTGTTTTGGTTGTTCTGTAACCCTAAGGTTGCTGGGCTGTGTAAGTGTGTGTAAAAAAGCTGGATTGCCCAGTAGCAGCCCCTGCAGGACAAGTATGACTCTTCAGTGTCCTATTCTTCATATTCTTTGCTCTCGGGACTCCTTAAGAATGCCATACACTGCAAAGGTATTACATGAAATTCCCCTGCTAGGGTTCTACTTTATAAAGTCCAAAGACATTTGAAATAAAGTGTCTTCTGCCCAGACTCAAAATAAACCCTCCGTGGCCTTCAG